AATTTAGTTTGAAACGATTTTAAACTTAGAGGATTTAACTAAGCTTAGAGGAGGCTGTTTTCACGGGGGGGGGGGGGGGGGGTTAGTGTTTTAAAGCAAATATTGTCAGTGGCATCATTGGTACAGTCGAATTCACAAATTATGAATTACTGAAAAGTAGAAAAATCAACAACTAAATAGCGGCGTATGATACGCCGCGGGTCGGCTCGTGTACGATATTTCATCTGCGTTTTTGTTGTCTTATGTAAGTGAGCATAATCTTACATATTGTGTGCCTAACTACCATTTTATATTAAAGACATGACTGTATGTGTATTACAATATTAAATCCTACAAAGTGTAACTATGCTCGGCTAGACAATAGATTAACATGCAGAATATCCACACATTTTTGTGAAAGGGGTGGGGGTGTACTTAACGTAATCCACCCCAAGACTGTCATTGTGTTTTAACTGCAAACATCTCCCCCAGGTGTGGCCACTCACCTGTTCCTCAATGTCAGCCGTTAGCTCACCGTCAGGTACAGTGGTTTTGTCAAGGGTCGGCGGACCCCAAGGAGATCTGTCGCGGCTGATTAGGGGATCCATTTGTTTTAAGGCAGAAATTTTTAACTTTGACTTCAGTGAAATAAAAAATGTGAGGGGCAAATTTCCCTGGATTCAACGGGAAGGTTGTTGAAGTGTTTAAAACTGTATCAATACAATCAGTGCAGTGTTTATGCCATGCTCGATTCTCGTATATATAATTCTCTGCTGGGAGACGTTAGAAAACAAGCTGCAAGCGCGCCTTTGCCGTCTCCTCTCTTCCTCTTAATCACTATCACTACCACCCCCACCCCCACCCCCACATGATCTGGTGAGCTGTGGTTCACTCTAAATGTTTACAAATCGTAGAGCTGGGTTTAGTGACGGCTATTAGGGGCAGATAATATAGTTTCAAACGATTTTAAACTTACAGGAGGTAACTAAGAGGAGGCTGCTTTCAGGGGGGGGGGGGTGTAGGGTAGGGTAGGGGGAAGGGGGGGGGGTTAGTGTTTTAAAGCAAATATTTAGAATAATCTAAAGTTCACTGCAGCCCATGCGAAGTGTACCTCTTCGAAGAGGGCATGAAGTCGCACATGGCGTACCATCACCCGATGTCTTAAATAGAGACAATATTAGACGTTTTGTTTAGTGTAAAACTTGACATGATTAATCTAGGAATATTAAATATAACATATATTAGACGTTTTGTAAAACTTTACAAAGATAACATTACATTTTCTTTTTCTTTATGCAATGCTATGTATTGTAACTATTTTATCATGTTCATGCATATCCACACAGCTAGCTCCTGGCTCTACAGGAGTGAACTGTGTGGAAGGAAAACTATTTTAAACGTAAAAAAAAAAATAAAAAAAAATGATAATTTAAATGTGTGGTACACTCCGCTTTGCCCACGGTCGCCCAACTATTTATAGTAACCTTACTTACACGTAGTTGCAGATGTCTCATTGGTAATGAGATTTTGAAGATCCCTTCGGAAGCGGGAACGAATTAGTTTTGTTTTTACGTTGTTTTTTTTTTTGCTCTGTCACACATGGATCATTAAATCCCAAACACGCTTTAATTTTAAAAAAAATGTAATGTCCAAGCCATTAATGCCAGATTAGGTATTAATTACAAAAGTAATAATTAATTAAAAATACAATTTAACCAAACTTATCTCCAATTTTTCCTTGACCAATATTTTGTTTTAAGTGTATCAACATATTTTCAGTTTCCCTCTGACATGTACTCGTGAGATCGCACATAATCAACTGACTATAAAAACAGGCAGATACAAAAAGTCATAGGCTAATTATTTAGGTTTCGAAAAATAAATTATAGACTACTATTTAAATAAGTATTTAAATAAACATTAGTAAAGGTATCCAATAGATACTAAAGTGACCCACGCTTTTCTTTATAGTTATTTAAATAGTAGTCAATAATTTATTTTCTACTTTTGAGTGAATCAGTACATGAAAGCTTGTTATTAAAACGTTTTTTATGAAACAAAATTGTAATTGTCTGGACCTATATTATATAGCAGACGCTCTGTGTCAAAGGTCATGCTAGTTTTATAACATGTTCTATAAAATGTTATGTAAGTGTGAACGCTAAAGTATACCTATTCTGTGGAGAAAATTGTTCCAGATAAAAATAACTTTTGGCGGGCTTTGTGTTCTAGAAATGTATGGTATACATGTCATAGGTGTAAACGCGGTATTAGCCACATTATTGTTAAAAGCACGTGACACAGTTCTTAAAAACGTGATTGTGTCTACAGGTTCGTAAATTAAAAATTATGTTTTTAGTGCATCATCACCCCACATGTAACGTTAACCTATCTTTGCTGGCTGTTGTCTAGCGTAAATCTGACTTCTTCAAAGTGTAGACGCCATTCTGTGATGTAGCGAAATATGTCATGGCTGGGTAATCACTAGTGATACTGCTTTGTTTACATGCACACTATGATTAATTTAGCTCCACAAGGACTGTGATACTGCTTTGTTTACATGCACACTATGATGCGGGTTCAGGTACAAAAACATGTGTTGATGATTTTACAACCAACAACTACCTAAACACAGCTGAGGCCAATACAACCAATTACAAATACAGTGGTAAACTTAGCCTTCAGTTGTTCAACAAAAGACACCAATCATGTCTGCAGTTGTAAACTTGGCAGTCAGTTGTTTGACAAAAGACACCAATCATATCTAAAGTGGTAAACTTGGCTGTCAGTTGTTTAAGACACCAATCATATCTACAACAACCATCAGCAAAGAAATACACAAAGGGTATTTCGTCTGTTTCACCAGCTGGGGCTTCCCATCTGACTAAGGCAATGCTTCCATCAGGATTACTAGAAGATCCTGTGTAAAACTCGTAGTCGAAATTTGCACAAACTATCTTGAATGTGTTTTGAATCTCTTTCCGCCAGGCGTCAACATCAAATTTAGCATCATTCTCCTTCTTGTTCTCTTCTATACGTTTGACAAAATCCTTAAAATATGCTTGGGATTCTTTCTTTGACCCAAAAGTTTATTTAACTAGGCTCCTATATATCTGCAAAAAACCTTTGCCATTTTTTTATATGGGAAAAATTGCAAGGGAGACAACGAAAAGCAAAATACAAAGCTGTCGGTTTTTGTAAATTTTAGAAAGAAATATATTTAAAAAAAAAAGATCACAGTAAAGTTTATCAGACAAAGCTATGTAAAGGTTTTAGATAATATTAAAAATTAGTAGTCTCGCTAATATGCATTACAAATCTTTATTGTTATAAATTTTAAAACAGTGACTTTAATGTATACATGTTTCTAAGACAATCAATTTATTCAGCTAAATCAACGTTACATTGATTCTTTAACATTTGAAAACAATTATCTTAACAATTTTAATGACCTTTAGACATGTTAAACTAAAAGAAGTCCAACATATTTGATATTCTTTATTCTTGTATTGCAAAAACAGTTTTACTATCCATCCATCATTTTCAAATTTTTTGTTATGCTCTTGGTTTTGGTCATTTAAAAAAAAATCATGTGTCAAAGTTGTTGTATGAATGTTTTGTTTATAGCATTTATCTTTATGTATTTCTTATTTATGATTTTTAATAATTGATCATTATGGTACACTTTGATTCATATTATGTGTGGTATTATTTTCTTTTGAAATAGAAATATGCATCAATAATAAGTAATATAAATAAAGCCGTTTGCTTATTAAAGAAGAAAATGACATTCATCTTCAAGTGCAGGTACTTGATGTTTTTGTAGTGCAATAAGTTACCTAGTCCTCAAATATGTAAATATTTGCTGCTCTAATTTTATAGCATGGAAAGATAAACACCAATTCTAGTATAAAAAACTAGTTCTAATACTTTTTTATAATTCTAATTAAAGAGGAATTTTTTTTTGAAAAAAGACTATGACTTTCTCCAAGGAGGACAGACAACCAGATTTTCAATGATGTACTAAATATCAAAATAATAAAAAATAAAAAATAAATGTTTAGCAATAATCTATCAACAACAACCTGGTGTACCAGATCCACACGATTTTGAACTGCAATTTGTAGATTACTTACGCCAGCTTTTGAATCACACAATGATTATTCCCATTTGGTGTTTTACCTGCGGTAAAGTGATTGGCAACAAGTGGGAGTCGTACATTGGCTTGCTGCAAGTTGAGTACACTGAAGGAGATGCTCTGGATGCCTTGGGTTTGAAAATATACTTTTGTCGCAGAATGCTTCTCTCCCTTGTTGACCTGATTGAGAAGTTGTTGAATTATGCGCCCCTTGAAAAAAGTGATGCCAAATAGCACTGAAGAACTACTGATGGAGAGTTGGGTCTTGTGCAACATCTGTTACTTTATATAAACTGTTCTGTTGTTATTTTGCTCCATGTTCTCAGATGTAAAATTATATTGTTGTTTCGTTTTTTTTTCTCATTTCACCATTATAATTTGTTAAAGTATTTCATTGTTCCAACCTGTTATCCTAAAAAATAAAATGTTGCCCTGTTTTAGATAGTTCAGTTAGTTTTTTTTTTATATTGTTGTCTCATAGAATTCATATGAATTCTATGAATTAAATGATTCCAATGCTTTTAAAATGTACAGAATAGTTTTCATCACACATCTTTTTTTTATTCACATACCATCTCAAATCTGCCATCTCTAAGTAATTAGTAAGGCTACAATCTCACTTCAATTGTTTTGCTATCGTTTAAATAGTTATCAAATTGTCATTTTTATTTTATTGACCTTGTATCCTACTACATTATTAAAGAAGAGTATAAATAAAAGATCATCTGAACAAATCCTTAAAAAAAAAATATATATATATATATATATATATATATATATATATATATATATATATATATATATATATATATATATATATATATATATATATATATATATATATATATATATATATATATATACATATATATATTGCCTAATAATGCTGGCATTAGCGGGCGTCAAGTACGAGGACATCAGATACACTTTCCAGACATGGCCGGCCGAGAAGTCAAAAATGTCTTTTGGGCAACTACCAGTACTAAATATAGATGGCAAAATGTTTGGCCAGAGCCTTGCAATAGCAGCCTACATTGCCAAGGAAGCAGGATTTTATCCTAAAAGTAATCTTGATGGGTTAAAAAATGGATCAAGTTGTTCAGCTGGGAGTTGACTTTCATAGAGTAGTATGAACAGCTTTGTTTCACAAAGATGAAGCTAAAAAGATTGTGCTTGCGAAAGAGCTCAAGGTAGTAGATGTGCCCAAGTACTTAGACTTGTTTGAAAAACTTTTGAAAGAATCTGGAACAGGATATTTCGTTGGTACGACGTTAACACTTGCAGACTTCTTCATCTATGATATAATCTCTGTGACTATAGACAGAGGAGTCCTCAGCACTTACAAGCATCCGTTAGTTTCTTGTCTGAACTCTGTCAACATAAAATGTTTTAATTAATTTTTATTACAATTTATTAAAACATTTTTTGACGAGAAACAATAGCTAAAATTCTTTTTCTATCATTGCTTTCTACAATGCAAAACAACCCACTCCCCCTCATCAAACACCATCGCAAAACTAAGGACCACCCTTTTCCTCCTAAGAGTGCGACGTCATTTATGGACACCCCTAACCCGAGATAATTTTCTTCTCAATCGACTTATGACAAATTCAGAAAAAAAACATTAACGAATTTCGATTGCCCGAACGCCGTTTGCTGGAAGGCCGTTTTACCAAAACGTATATTAAGTGTTGCGGTGTTTTACAGTTTAAAAAAAAAAGAAAAATAATTAATAACGCAATTTAAACGTTATACACATATTTTATAGTTATACCATGACAATTAATATTTCAAACTGTATTGGTTAGAGTTCTAAATCAGTAAAGATTTTTTTTTCTTTTTTTTAATTTAATACAAATTTGTCAAAAACCTTTGCCATTTTTTAAATGTAAAAACACTTACAAGGGAGACCACGAAAAGCAAATTACTAGCCCGTTGGTTTTTGTAAATTTTATAAAGATATATTTTAAAAAAAAACAGTCACAGTATGAATTATCTGACAAACCTATTTAAAGTTTTTAGAAAATATAAAAAAAAAAATTAGTAGTCACGCTAATATGAAATAAAAATCTTTCATGCTATAAAAGTTAAAAAAAGTGACTTTAATGTATATATTCTTCTAAGACTAGCAATTTATTCAGCGAAATAAATGCTACCGTTTAACCAATTGTCTGCAAACAATTTAAGCCAGGGGTCGGCAACCTGCGTCTCGCGAGCCGCATGCGGCTCTTTTGATGTCAAAATGTGCTCTTCAGCTTCTTTCACAAATACTAATAGTTATATTAATTCATTTTAAATTTTTTTAGTTATTAGCTTCCTACGGTCGAGCTGGGTACTGGACGGTAGGGTACGAGCTTACCCTGGGCTCCGTGGGGTGGAAGATAAGCCTGGTGAGAACCAAAGTACAGAAGTGACAATACACGGTAATCGAGCCGATACCCAAGCCAGTTAATCTGAGTTTGTCGTGTCGATGGATGCCTGGCTAATGGGAGACACATCCAGAGCCGGTGATATCCGTAAAGAAAAAAAAAGTTAACAGCTTCTAAAGTGGATTGGGAGAGTCCTTTAGTTATATTATTTGATTTCTAATTTTATAACGCTGGCAAAACATGTATGTTTTTGTATGAATAGGGGTCGGTAAGGTCGAGTCGGTAAAGCTCATGTTTGCTAAACCGAAAAGTCTCGAGTTCGAACCCTCGGGCAGACGAGGCTCGTTAGCTGGGGACAGCCACTCTTCTAGGAGAGACAACTCCAAAATTAAAACAACTGCTGCCTTGTAGTTTGTTTGGTTGGACAAAGGCTATGGAAGCAAATCCAAAAAAAAAGCAGGATGAAATCGGAGTCAATGGCCTCAATGGCGCATAACCAGTTGACACGTAACGCTTAATTGTGTTGGAGGCGTGGTCGAGTCGGCAAACAGCTCATGGTTGATAAATTCGAACAAAAGTCTCGAGTTTAAACCCACTGGCAGATAAATATCGATCCCCTTCAACACTAATAATTAAAAACGAAGAAGAAGAAGACCCTTGCCAGACATATGCTGGGCCCGTTAGAGACATGTAGAACATACCTACTGGACACATGTTGCAATAATTCGTGTCACTCCAATGTATACATTTTAAAGTCCCGGCGTAATTAGGTATGGTTATACTGTATATAGACCTATAACATATCATATATAGTGCTATATTTTATTATGTATCCTTTTTATATATTGCAAATGTGGTTACATCGTATTATATGACCATTTAAATGTATCAAATATTGTCTTATATGGACATTTACATTTTTAATATTTCACTGTTTTATTTTATAATTAAAAGCATAGTTTACCTTTCAGATCAGACTGACCAACTCTTGGTCAGCTGACCGTCCCACGTGACGGGTAAGTTCGTTGTACTTTTTATTATATTGTTTCTATCTGATCAATGAGAGTTTAATACATTTTACTGTATGAAAGTTAAAATTTATTCACACTCTGATTGTGCATCCGAGTAAGTCGTAATTTAACGGGTTGGATCTTAATTCTTTAAAAACGATATACATTCAAGTCACTGTTTTTTAATTGTGAGACACAATGCATTTATATATAAAATTTAGCATTCTTGCTTAATTTTTTAATATTTTCTAAAACGTATTAATTTTACATATGCATTATATGAGCAATATGCCTATTTCTTAAGCATATGTTTTTAAAGGTTTTATAATATATAGCTCTGTTAGTTTGATTGATTGGTCTCCCTTTACCTTTTTACCACGTTTTTCTTAACTCAGCTTCGCGTTTATGGATTTGTTTGTTGTTAAAATTGACAACGAAAATTAGCCCACTTCTGATTGCTCTAGAGATCTGAAATTCGTCATGCGGCTATTTTCGCCTAACAATTTCAGATGCAATCATAAAAACTAGCAATTAGAGACCTAAATTAGCTTAATTAAATTACGCCCCTTCTCTGTTTAAAGCGTATCGGTCGCTGAAATCTCTTTTTTTAATGTTTTACAGTGTAATGCTTAAGGTGGGTGGAGAATCGACAGTTAATCTGTTCGAGTAGGGATGGACGGTGGGCCAACTACCTAAAAGCATTCAAAAACCTTTTGATCCTTTTTATTTTGATAAAAAATCCTCTAAATTGTCATGTATTTAAAAACACTTAGTCAAGTCATACTTAATCAAGTCATTAGATAAAATAGAAAATAAACTATATAAAAAACTTTTTAAAAACCACGTTTTTCATCAAATTTATGAACAGTCATCACAAGAACCTGCACAGCTCGAGGAAGCACAAAATCTACGAGCAGTCATTGGTAGATCCCCTAGGGTTTGAAGAAAAATTTATTTTCTATTTTTTAGTCCACAAGAAAAACGTGTTTTTTTTTAAAGTTTTTTTTAAAGTATTTTATCTATGTCATAAGAAATGGCTATAGTAATATGTATTTTAAAAAAGACATTTAGTTCTAGATTTTATCTAAACTGTTTGAAACTCTAATCAATACAGAATAAAACTTTTAATTTTCAGATAAAACAGTATGTGATATGTATAACGTTAAAAGTTTTGATTTTTTTGTTTGTTTTACTTTGAAACACACATTGCAACGCTAAAGAAGGAGTTCGTCGTATTCGGGCACATTTCCTACGATACAACGAACACGGGATTCGACCAAGTCCATTGAGAAGAAAATTAGCTCAGGTTAAGCTGCAACCTTTTTTTTTTTTTTGATGAACTCAAAAAGGGAACAACGATTATGTCAGAAGTAAATTAAGAGATAATTAAACCAAAGTTGTTGTGGTAAAGTATTTGGTTATACAACAAACGTCAAATATTCACAGTATCTGTGAATGTTATTACGCTATTAATATTATATGCTTAGCTGTATTGGCTAGACCTCGTTAAAACTATGCACATTACATAATCGTATTGTTAACTTTAACATATAAGTTTGTGCACGCACATTTTAGAATTAAAACAATTTTATCAAAATAGTATACACATAGATATGACTAACTATTTTTCATATTTCAGCAATTGACTTTATAAATAGATAAGTAAGTCAAGACCAGATTGTAATGTAATGTAACATAATCTGTGACACAATCAGATGTTGAGTTAATACAAAACAAATTAACAGCAAGTTGTCCGACCTGCTGGTGACGATGTAACAGATGTAACAACATTTACTAAATGAACCTCTACTAGACGGTTTACCTTCCAGTATATCACACGATCCTGACAACGTCTATGTTAGACCCTTGCCAGACATACGCTGTGCCAGCTAGAGACACAGTTCTAGTAATCCAGTGAAATAGCCATTATTTCATTATTATTATTAGTTCATTATCTGATTTGTAAGGTAAACCATGATGTGACTGAGTAACTATGACTGTCACAACAGTTTCAGGAACAGTTTATACGTAAACTATGCACTACATACATCTTTGCTTTGAACCCATTCTCTAATTATTTACCAACAGTCCTCAAAGGTTTCTATCATAGCCCTAACATGGTTTAAATATTGGGGTGTCGGCGTTCCACGTACATGTGTGGTTGAGCGCCCAAAGTTTTCTATCATAGCCCTAACATGGTTTAAATATTGGGGTGTCGGCGCCCCACGTACATGTGTGGTTGAGCGCCCAAAGTTTCCCATTGCCTGTCTGAGCACACGGGGTCCGCCTATTGGATGACCTACACCGCGGGATCAGTCGCGATACAATAGGGTTCTCTCTCGTTGTGTTATGTGCCATAGTTGGATCTGCTGGCGATGTGAAAAATGAAAAAAAAAAAAAAAACACTTTGTGTTGAACGACCGGGGACAATTTCACTCCTAATCTGTCCAGTGTAACCAGCTGAGTACACCCCTTTACCTTTTTGGCTATGTGAATTTCTCTGTGTTTTTTGTAATAATCTACCCAATATGTCATAATAAATAAAATAAATGTAATTTTTACATATAGTTTTCTTTTGGGCTTTAATGGGTTAATCAGCTTTTGATACAATATAGTGTATATGCTTACACTTGTTGTTATAACATTACTTGTCGTTGTTACATGAAACGGATGATTTTAGATACTGATGTCTGATAATAAAATAGATGTGTTGGGTTGTTAGTAGTATTATAATCTCGACTAATTTTATGGTTAGAAATTAGGGTTATGCTTATGGACTAGGGTTGGTGTTAGGGACAGAGTTAGCTTTGACATTTTGGATCAGGAGCCCGACGTTTTCCCGAATAACACTTGCCCGAATGCCGTTAGCCCGAAGGCCGATTTCCCGAATGGTTACATGCCCGAATGCGACATATGCCCGAATGGACACATGCCCGAATGTGACAAATGCCCGAATGGACACATGCCCGAATGCGACAAATGCCCGAATGGACAAATGCCCGAATGCGACAAAGGCCCGAATACCAGTAACCTAACACCCCTTTTTTAAAGAAGATTCTATTATCGGAAACTGGTATAAATATTCGCCCATGAAACTATGGCAGCATCAACTACAACATATTTCTTCGGCTTTCTATAACGCGGACGACACGTTAGGTGTAGGCCTATATTTAACTACAGTCTGTCAGAATATATTAGTCTTATAACAACATTTAGTATTTGCTAATAAAATAGATGTAGTCTGGCTAATCTTCAGATTTCAGCAACAGTAAAGTATAATTATATAAGTAGATCAAGACCCGAAAGCAATGTAATGTAACATAATTTTTGTATAGAATTATATGTTTACTTAATTTAAAAAAAAAAAAAAAAATAGAGAGCTGTCCGACTTGGTGGTGACGATGTAACAGATGTAACATCAACATTTACTAAATGAGCATCTACTGAACGGTTTACCTACCACCATATCACACGATCCTGACAACATGTGTGTGAGACCCTTGATTTTGTATCGGTTAATATTTTTCCCAAAAATAAAATGTTTTCACACTTTACATTTTTGTTGTATCGTCATTGCGTGTCATGTTTTGAATTTTTCAGAAACATGTATGCATAAATATCACTGTTTTGAATAATATCATTATATAACTTTAAAAAAATCAAATTAACATGATGCTTCAGGATCTTTACAGTTTTAAAAATAGAATGTAGTTTTCTTTTATAAACATCTTTATTTTCCTAAAACATTTTAATTTTTATTTATGACGAATTAGATAGCGATTATTATGCACTTTTTTAGTGTTATCTCCCTTGTATAGTTTAAGTTAAAGAAATTGCAACTGATACGCAAGTTTAGATTTGTATCAAAAAATGATAGTAAAAAAAAAAAAAACCCAAAATGACTCAACAATCGACTACCAACAAGCAGAGCAGA